TAGGTAAATACCTCATCATTGATGACTATGGTCCACCTGAGTGACAAGTAACCCGTCCTGGACAGAGGTTTCTTCAAGGCCCATTATGGGAACCCCATGGTGTAACATTAAGAGAAAGAATACAGGGAGTGGTACAAATGAGCAGTTGACCTGCCCCATTTTACTCATTTTGAATGCTTAAATTACTAAATTACATTAAAAGGCTCTTGTGTTATACATCGTCTTAGAACATCTCGGGAAAAGGCTTTTGTGTTATACATCGACTTAGAACATCTCGGGAAAAGGCTCTTGTGTTACATTTCAAAACATCTGTACATCTTTGAAAAAACTTTCATGTTACATTAACAAATTCATTTGATTAAATATTCTTCAGTCTTGCCGTTGGTTTTTCTTTTCATCCCTAAAAAAAATCCATCCATGCTTTACTTCACCTTTGTTTCACTGCTGGGGGGAGGGGGGGGGCGTAAGGTTATCCAAATTTATCTGTGGGGAGTTCGGTACAATTTCATTAAGTGGGACACCTTCAGAATTCGGCGTAGGCTCAGTCCGCATTTGAGTCCCTGGCTATTTCGTCTTGATGATGAACAACACAATCCCCGCAATCACCGCAATCACCACAATCACAGACAGGCTCACTATCAGCCATACACCTGGAGGGGCCCCTGCAGAATGAATAAAAATTACATTTTCATACAGACATCAAATCTTCAATTAAAAACTTTTTGAAACATCCAGCAGAGTCACATCACTGAGCTGAAAGCCCAACTCAGAGCAGCTTCCCATCTGACCCCTGACTGTTAAGGATCTCCCTCAATGGTACAACAGCAGGACCCCATGTCACTCCGAACCACACCCTTAACACCCCACCCACTGTCCCCTGAACACCCAATAAAACACAGTATTAAACATTCTCTATAATGTCTAATAACAGCCCACAATGTGGTGACTATCTGCTGTGAACTCAGGTACTGGGCGGCTCTGCACAGCCAGCATGACCCTCTGACATCTTCACCCTCAGCCTGCAAACAGCCGCTCGCTCTACACAGCCCTGTGTCCCCTCTGATCCCTCGTAGGTCATTAAACAACTGGCATCACCCGTAACTGAAGGATCAGAGAATGTACAGTAGGATTCACTCTGGGGCAGAAGCATGTTTATCACACAGGGTATAAACTCACCTGGAGGGTTTTCATCAGGAACTTCTTTTTCTTTGTCTTCATACGGCTTACAAACAAGACCGTCTGATTGGGGAGGGAAAAAGAAACAAAATCAGCTGGTCCTGTACCAAATAAAAAACACACAGTCATCATCGTCATCATGCCACATACAAAAAAAAAAAAGAAACGAACAGAAAACGGCATGAGGAAGAAATTCCAGATTTATTATCAAACCAGATGTACGAAAATATATACGC